TCTTTGTGCAACTGTACCTTCAAAAGGATCATGTATTTCATAAATATAATATTATGCCATAAATCTTATTCAAGCAGTTTTAAAGTTAAAATTCATTAACACTTCACTATAATGACATAAAGGTTGTTTACCAGTGTAATTAAGGCCTCTGATGTCTATGCTTAGTTCTAATTAGCAGAGTCCCATTGGAAACTTTTATTTTCATATCACTGGCACATCATAAGTCCAATTTTAATTACCAAGTGAAGTATTATATGAGCTTTCTGCAAATGTTCAGTTTAACTGAAAATGCTGTAACTCTAAAACTATTTCACACAAAAAACAAGAAAATAATGCATGTACTTGCGTATAAGATTTAAGTGAATCATTGTATCACTGACACAAAATATTGACTCTTATGATTTCACTCATAAAAATGTATTTCAACAAAATACTAAGAACTTATAAACCACATAACACTCACAGACCAGAAAAAAAATTCCTCTTCAAGACTTTTTCTAGGAATGAAGTTTGCACCATTTCTCTTTTTTCCTGCTTGGAAAACCCTATGTATTTTTATATTCAATCTCACAGCAGCAAAAAAAAAGCCAAAGCTCTCAGCCATGATTAGTAGAAATTGTGAGATTATGTACATATATAGGCTAGTATGTTGTTCAATTACAGGTTTTACTTAGTTTAATAAGTTCTGAAAAAAAAAGAATGTTTGTGCTTAATATGTACATTTTATTCATTTAAAATCATTCACTCCAAGGTTTTTCATTAAGCAAAGCTGAACTTAACTATTGAAAGAAATTTAACTGAGGAATTTGTTATGAATTATACAGAATATACAATACCACAGAAAAAAATATTTGTTGAGTGATGCATGAAGGAATGATATACTCACAAGATTAATATAAATACCAGAAATACTATGAAGAACCCACACTGAGTAGTTAGATGTGCTTTTTTCACACAGTTTTTTTACTATTTTACAACTATGAAACTTCCCCCCCCCCCAACACACACACAATTAGCACATTATTTCCTTTTTACTTACTAGTTTACTTAATAGTGAAATAACAAATATACTTGTTGCTGACACGACCA